TTCTCTTTCTGATTTTTCAGAGTTTGGATGGTACGTGAGGGTTTCATACGAATCACTGTGAACAAACAGCCAGGTCCCTGGTTTCCGTGGTTTCAAGGCCGGCGCTGCGGGGACACACGGCGTGAGGCGCAGACGGCCTCACCCAGGAGCCCGGGCTGGGCCTTTCCAGAAGCCGTCACGGGAACCCATGGGAGGGACCGGAGGGAAGACGGCCACAGTGCGCCGGACACATCTCGCCCCTGACGAGGTCCGGCCGGCAGCGGGGCCGGAGACTCGGGCGGGACTCACAGGGGCGGACAGGCCCCGATGTGGGTCCAGGGACCCGGGGGCCTGGGCCGTGGTCCTCAGCAAGGCTACCCCTCAAGGCGGGACCCAGGTGCCGGGGGCGTGAGGACACCGGGGTCCCCGGGGCCTCTGGAGGGTCTCTGTGGGCTTGGAGCCGAGTCACAGCTTTCATGGAAATATCTGGAATTCATCCCTTAACTCCTGCCCCAGATGGTGATTCTCGCTTCCCTGACTCCCGGACCTGCACACTCAGGCTCTGGGCCTGGGCTTCCAAACCCTTCCCCATCCGATTCCCAGGCCCGGCTGCCCGCCTGGCCAGAGCCACGGCCTTCTCGGGCCTCCGCCTGCCTGCCCTAGCCCTTGGCCGCCCTGGCCCCAGGAGCAGATGTCATTCGGGAGGAAGGAGAGCTGGCGCCTTGCGGGCAGGAAGGGGGCACGAGCGGAGGGAGCCCTGGCGGCAGCCTGTTCTGTCCTCGGCAGCGGAGGGGCTGGAGTGGGGCTGGTGGGGAGGGGCTGTTCTGGCTGCAGCACCTGGAAGGCTCCGGGGGGGAGAGAGCTGGACAGCAGGACGTGAGGGTGCGCCAGTTCCAGTGACAACGGCAGGGAGGCTCGGGGCCCCGATGCCACTGCTGCCCCACGCCGGCCCTGCGGCTGTGCTGGCGAGGGCCGGGGGCGGGGGCCGGGGGACCGAGGCATCACGCCCGACATCCTGGGCGGTGGAGCTGGGGCATGTGTTCCCACCCCCTCCAACCTGCTCGGTGACCCACTGGATCTCCGGGACAGCACAGGACACACACACACACGACCACCCACAGCTGACGGCTCCCGGGAACGCGAGCCCTACAGTGGAAACAGTGATGGAGCCGTGTCTGGCTGCGTCAGGCAGCTGTGCGCGGCACCGGCCTGACTCAGGGGAAGGAAGTGCTGTTTCCACTGCAGCTCAAAACAAGTGGTTTCAGGACGGCCTGTGTCACTGGCATTTCCCTGCTGTGTTTACGAGAGGAGGGAATAGGGCGTCGAGGTTACTCTAACCTCATCTTTTACAAGAAACAAGAAGCCCCCAGTGGAACACAGGCGGGGGGCTGTGGCAGCCCCGGGAGGCGCTGGGGAAACCCACGGCGCCCGCCAGGGAGGGGGGCTCACCGCCCGGCTCTCTGGGCCGTTGCAGGGATGGAAACCCAGGGCCCTGTCTCCTCCGCGGGGTGGGCAGCGTGGCCCGGGGTCGCTCTGCACACAGCCGGTGTGCCGGCGCGGGGATCGCTGGAGCACTGCTGTCCTGCGGACTCTCAGTGACGTCGGCAGTTTGGCTGGAAGCCAGCTCCGTGGTCCAGAGGTGACAGCTCCTTCTCTGCGGGGAGGGGCTGCAGGGAGAAGGGTGACTGTGCTGGTGACGGGTGATGGTTTCTGCACCACGGGGCGAGCAGGGCCGCGGTCCCAGGGCCACGGCTGGGGTGGGGCTGGCCTCCTCTCCCTGGAAGGCAGCCCTGGGGATCACGCTGCCTGTGAAGTCACATACCGAGTTCGCACCTGTATCTAAACCGGAGCGAAAGACAGACCAGAGGAAAGAGCCTGCGGACGACAGCAGGCCTGCCTGCCGGCCCCGCGTTGCGGCTGAGCCCGGGCCCCTCCCCGTGGGGGCTGTGATTGGGCAGCAAGCGATGGGACAAAAAAGAAAGCCCGTTTTCACAAGGAGGCTTACTGGAAAATCTCTAATAAACAGAGTCGGAAGGGCTGCACAGCGATCTTGAAACAGCCTGCCATCATTCCAATGTTGTTCTCAAAGCCGCGCCTCTCCTGGGCCACAGCCTTGAGGCCTTGCCCCGCGGGCCCGGCTCCAGTGCCCTCCGGCGGCCTCGCAGGCCCACCCTGGGCCGCAGGGTCACCTCTGTCGTGGGCAGAGCTGCTCCCAATGTGTCCGCTGCAGCTTGACCCCAGCACCTCAGAGCGCGGCTGTGTCTAGAGCCGGGCCTTGAGAGGTGATCAAGGTAAAACGGGGTCTCCAGGCTGGGCCCCGATCCAGGATGACATGGGGACGCGAACAAAGGTCCCCATGGAGAGGAGACGGCGGCCGCGTGCCCAGGAGGGTGGCCTTGGGAGAGGCAGCCCTGCTCGCACCCGGGTCTTGGATTCTGGCCTCCGGACTGAGTGGCCTTAAACCTCCTGTGTCTGAGCCGCCCCCTGGACTCAGTGCCCACGGCCCTTGCCGACCAACATGCCGCGTTTCTAGAGACTCGTGTTTAAAGAGGAACCTGGAAGCTGATGAGCAGCTCACTCTATAGTGAGGGAACTGGGCCCCTAAGTCTCAGTGACTGTGTCCAACCAGCGCTCAACGAGCGACCAAGGGGCTCCCGCCCCCCGGGGAACCAGGCAGGTGCGCTCAGGCGTAGCCTGCGCCCAGAGGAGGAGGAGGAGGAGGAGGAGAGAGCGGCCCCGCAGGAGAGCTCCAGATGGAGGAAGGGACTGGACGAGCTGGGGTGACATCAGAGGGGCAGCTCTGGTGATAGGCGTGAGGTGCAGCAGGGAGCCGGGACGGCCCTGAGCCCACCAGCCCTGGAGAGGGGTCACTAGGGCTGCACGGGAAGGCCGGGTGGCAAGAGGCCCCTGCAGAGTCCAAGGTCCAGCAGGGCAGATCCTGGACCTGATTTTAAGGCACATGAACAATATCTGCTCGTAGAACGCATGTGGGCACAAGAGAAAGACCAGCCAAGAGTGGCCCCAAGGGCTCGGGGGAGACAGGCGGACGACCTGGGGGAGCCGGGCCGGAGCCGCATTCCAGCAGGGTGCCCGCCAGTTCCAGGGGCGGCAGCCTCTGACGCAGCGCCTGCCCCCTTCAGTCCCAGGCGCCGGGAGCCAGGACTTGCCACGTGGCTCCCTTCTCTCCTTCGGGCTCCTGTCACAAGTCTCACTTCTACATCTGTAAACCCAACAACGGTGCAGACAGCCTTTCAAAAAAGTTAGAAGTAAGAAAAACGTCTGCGATAGTCCCATTTCTACAATTCCCAGTGCTCCTCTGTGCACGTGCAGGTAACAGTTTCCACCTGGTATCATGTTTTGATTGAAAAGCTTCCTTCGGCTTTTTTTTTGCAGTGCAGGTCTGCTGTGAGGCCTCTCAGCCTCGGCTGGAAATTAATGGTCTCAGCTTCAGTTTATCTGAAAACATCTGCACTCGACACCCTCGCTTTCGAGAGATCCTTTGACTTGGCACAGAATTCTGGACAGGTGACTTCCTTCAGGACTGAGGACAGTTACCCGTCTTTGTCACGCGTAGCTGGGAGGAGACGCCGTCTGCGATTCTGCACACAGTATTGCTTTCCCTCTGGCTGCCTGTGTTTGGAAGGGACTGGCTTGAGTGCACAGGTGTGCGCGCGTGAATTACGTTCTTATTTTTCCTGTTTGGAGTTCTCAGAGCTTATTGGATCTGTGGTTTGTTGTTTTCATTAATTTTGGAAAAGTTCCAGGTATCATCTCTTCAGTATTTCTGTCCTATTCTGTCTCCAAAAAAGGACGTTAGACCACCTGACACTGTTCCCAGTTTCCGGACGCCCTGTTCAGGTTTCCCCACAGCCTTGTTTCTCTTTGGATCATCTCTGCCGACCTTTCCCTCAGTTACGTCCATTCCTGATGCTGTGTCTTCGTTTCTAACGTTTGCACGTGGACCTCTGTTTCCACCCCACGCTTGTGTCCTCCGCTGGCTTCTCGAGTGATCTGCATGGCGTTCCCCCCGCCTGGGGCGTCTCTGGGGATGGTCTGCTGATCGTTTGATTTCCTGAGGAAGGTTCCCCCTCAGGTCCCGTGTGTGTCTCGGACCCTGGCTGAAGGACAACATCACGTGTAGAAGCAGGCTGACCTCCTCCATCACCGCTGCCGTGGGGCATGGGGTCAGCCAGGAGCCGGGCTGCGTTTGGGTTTCATTCCGCTTCCAAACAAGCATTTGCCTTTGCTGCCCGTGAGGGTCAAAGTCCTCGAGTGGTGGCACCTGCGACTTGGCGCTGAGTGGGACCCCCCGGCTGGGAGCCCCGTCTTCAGTGGTCCCTGCCTGCCCGTGCCGCAGGGGGTCTGGCTTCTGCTCCACCCACCCTGAGGGGAGAGCGGCTCCTTGACGCCTCCTGGGCCTTCCTGGGGTCCCTCCCTCTCACTGCTCGGTCTCCAGCAACATTCCAGCACCTGCCTTCATTGAAGATCTAGTCGCCTCTTAAACCTACAGACCCTGAGAGCTGAACGGACCGCCTGGCCCAAGAGCTCCTCCGGCCCGTTCCCCGCGTTCACACGGCCCTGGGCCACAGGCCCACCTCCGCCCAGCTCTGTGCCGGGAGGGCTGGTCCGCCTGTAATTTCTACCCATGAAACCCACATGTTTAGGCTAAAAATAAGTTCAATACATCTTCTACGTGACAGCTCTTCAAACACTTGAAGACAAATATTATTCATCCACATATTAATTAAAACACTTCGTGCCAAAGTACCAGACACTGTGAGACATTCAGAGATGGAAACATAGAACCTTGCGCTCCAGGGTCTCAGAGTCTAGAGTGAAGGCGACACCAGGGCGAGACGGTAGCAGCCGGGATGGAAACGTCCACAGCGCGTCTGGGAACACAGGGAAGGGAGTCTGGCCGGAGGGACAAAGTGCTCGGAAGGGATGCCCGGAAGAGCTGAGATGGGGAAGCGGGAGCTCTTCGGGGACGCAGGGGGAGGCGGGCCTCTGGGCGGTAAACGCGAGGCATGGAGGCACGTCTGGGAGCAGTGAGAAAGTGCGTGTGTGCAGGAGGGTGGTGAGCGCGAGCCTGGGACCAGGCCACGTCGTGGAGGTGTTTCTGGAGCCCCGCTGCTGCCAGTGGGGGGGGGGGGCGGGAACCATGCCCACCAACCACACTGCTCTCCATGTTCAGTGAGCGCCTGAGGGGGACAGTCTTACACGTGTGTCTGAACAGGGCTTTCCCCGCAGGACCGCATGGTGAACACACTCACCAGACAACACTTGTGGGGCCGGGAAGTGGGTGGGTGCATCTTGGCCATCACAGCCGTGGAGGTGGCGTTTAGCGGGGTGGGCTGGGGCCTGGGACGCAGAGAAAAGGGCCATGTGACAAAGACTAAAGCCCCCAGAGCAAGAGAGGCTGCGAGGTAGACCTGCCACTGGAGGGGGGACGAAGGTCATTTTCAGGGTTAGGGTTAGGGTTAGAGGTTGAAGGCGTCGAGCCTAAGGACCAGTAAGGAGAAGGCAAGGTTGTGTGACAAGGAGGGAGGCGGAGCGTGTGGCCTGAGGGCAGAGGCGAGGGTGACAGGTGGACAGGTCTCGTGGTCGCCTGAGCACCGGCCAGGCGCCAGCAAGGCCCATGGAGCTGGGGTGGCCCTCACGGAAGGTGAGAAGGCCTCCCAGAAACACCCTGGGGGCGGTGCAGCCACTCTCACCTCCTCTCCTGCCACCAGAAGCCGGGGGCGGGGCTGGGCTCTGCAGAGCTGGTGGCGAGGGGGCAGCGGGGTAGGGGCTGGCCTGCCGCAAAGTGCCGAGGGGTGCCTGGAAGCTGCGAGCCAGCGGCGGGTTTTGACTCCCTTCCCAAACCACTTCCTCTGCCCTGAGGGCCTGTGCCAGATGCAGAGCTGCCCAGAATCTCCTCGGTGGCCCTTCTCACTTGAACTTCCAGCAGGTTGAGAAAGTGCTCCTCAAACTCTCCCCCAGTGACTTATTCTGGAATATCCCGGGGCTCAGGTGCGCCCGCACGCCTCGCGCTGGCCTCCCCGACAGCTGCACCCCCAGGGGTGCCCCGCAGCTGTGTGAGTGGCGGCACCAGCCCTGCAGACACAGGCCTCTCAGCCAGAACGGGCGCCTCCTGTGCCCTCTGCGGCGGCCGGGCGAAGTCACGCGCGACTCGGGACGTCTGGTGCAGCCCCGTGGGGTGCGGTGGGCACAGGGGAGGGGCTGGGGGGTGGACGGTCTGCAGCTCCCCTGGCCGAGAGGGTGAAGGCACCAGCTCGTGGAGGGTGGTTGTGGGAAGGGACGGCCGCCTGATGCCGCGGTAACGGCCCTGGCGCCTTGTAGTTCACGGACTTCCACAAAACGACGACGGGGCATGGGGGTCTGGTATCTGGCCTGTCTAACCGCAGGCAAGCGAGGGACCTGGCCACCCCTCAGGTCGAGCGTCGGCTGCCCGGAACTCCTGCTGGTCCCCAGCTCAGGGAGGGCTTCCGATCCACCTGATGCTTCGCTCTGCCCTCCAGAAAACCCAACTCAGGCGGCAAGACTCACATCTAAGGAGCAGATGGTGCGACCTGGTCTTCACAGCGTCTTCTCCCCAAGATGGAAGACTGTGCCGCGAACTGGGACCAGCTATCCAGGCCGTGGGGAAGAGGAGCTGGCCCGACCC